ATTAAAAACTCAAACATTTTATTAAATTAAAAATATGTGTTACCATTTAAAAAAACAAAGTTGACCCCCCTCCAAGGCATAAAGGATGAAATTAAAAAGTATTACATAGTTAAAAATTCAAGAATAATGTGTAACTAAAAATAATAAAAAAAATTTTTTTTTAAATTATTATTATTCTATAAGTAATTGAGTGGGTTATGATAAAAAAATCACCCTGTATATATGTATATACATTNAAAAAAAATTATATATACATTATAGTAGTTATATATACATATTTTTTGTTTCTATATTGTATATTGTACAATAATAAAAAATAAATTTGTATTTACATTAAAGTTTTCGTACTTCTCCCGTGAATGCGTTGTATTCCATTTGACAGTCGTTAATAATTACACAATACAATGATGTTTTATCGGGAAACTGTTTGGAGCATTCGAAATCCAAGCGTAGACCAACAGTTGAAGACTTGACGGTGTCGTTTTGTTTAGAACAATCAATCACGACTATAGGACCACGTTTTTTGTAATTTATATAGTCCAATAAAGGATAGGGGTCTTTACGACCGTAATACATTGTCTGGAATTATGCGTACGAGTTATAAAACGTTGTGTACTTGTTGTTGTCGAAATCGGCGTTTTGGTTCTCGTACGGGTATTCGTCAGCGCTCAGATACGCTTTGACGTTTCTCAATGAACAGTGATTAAAATCTCCGAGAACGTGGTCGTCCTCATTACCCATGGCAATAAGTAAATATCTAGGTTTTTCCACATTCGAATAGATGCGCACTGACCACGTGTGATTAGTTGTATGCGGTACCAATGGGTAAACGGCAACGTCCTAGTGTTGAAATTCTAACGGGAGCCATTTCTTGCTGTCCAGAATACTGGGTTTCACACTGGGTTCAAAGTACTTAACTACCCATTTAATTTTCGATATTTTCACGTTGATTTTTTTTATTAATGTTGCAACTTGCGCTTTATCGTCTGTTGTAGTTGTCTGTGGAACAAATGATACGGCAGTCTGATGCGTATTCTGGGCAGCAAGAAATGGCTCCCGTTAGAATTTCAACACTGGGACGTTACCGTTTACCTATTGGTAACGCAGACAACGCATTAATCGATAAGTATAATACAGATTATAATAATATTATAAACATTATAATATATATGTTCCAGTGATTACGTCGTCGTCGGCGGCGGCGGCGGTGGCGGCGGTAGTAGTGTTTATTTAAGAATGTATTTTGCTATAAACACTTGAACAACAGTCTTAATTATTATATATTGTCTACAAAAAAATATTGATTTATTATTCAGTATACGAATAACGGTCAAGAAGTATCTAATATTTTTTCTAATTATTTTTCCTCTATACATACCCCTTCTCTCAATTCTTTATCTTGTCCAGCACATCTTCTCCCCAATTTCTCCTTCTTACTCTCCAAAATAGAATTCACTATTGATGATGTTAGTAAATTCCTGTTTTCCCTTCGTAACAATAAAACTATCGGCCCTGATGGAATACAAGGCCACTTTTTATTTATCTTAAAGGATGTTATTGCCTGGCCACTCTTCCTGTTATGTCAAAAATCTTTTTATTCCAGGTTCTTCCCTTTCTCACTCAAGCTTGGCTCAATTTCCCCGATACTTAAAACGGTGATCCGTCTCAAGTAACAAATTACTGTTCAATAATCACGCTTTCTCACATATCTAAATTAATTGAAACTATTGTTATTAATTCTATCCATCCTATCCTCAATAATATTTTATGTGATGAACAACATGGATTTCTTCCAGGTCGTTCAACATTCACTTGTAACCTCATTGTCTCATCCTACATATATGATTCCTTCAGTCAGCAAAGTCACGAAGATGTCATTTACATGGACTTCTCAAAGGCATTCGATGAAGTAGATCACAGTATTCTAATTCAAACTCTGGATAATCTAAGGTATTGGTAATCCACTACTGTCTTGGGTTCCCTCTTATTTATCTGATCGTCAATATTTTGTTTCAACTTCTCATTCGACCTCCGATACCTTCTATACATCTTCTGGAGTACCCCATGGTGCAATTCTTTCTCCTCTTCTGTTTGCTCAAAATGCCCCTCAAAACCGTTAACAATATTATTAGTCTCTGCAAGTATATGAGGGATTCTAGGAAGCCTGTAATGTCACAAATTCGAAGGTTGACCGTTTATAATTTTTTTGTTATGTCTACTTAATTATTTTTTTATGCAAGAGAATGTGCGCATGAACCTTTTTCTGACACAGCAATTCTGAAACAACTCATTTTAAAAATTAACAAAAAAAAGTATAATATTATTATACTTTTCATAATACTAATTATATTAAAAACATTAATACAATTCATGACTAATTTCATACAGATATATAACATCAATTAGTAAATGAGAAAAGTTAATCTTTAATGTTGATTGTAGGAGACATCTGAGACGTATTTCTTGGGATTTAAAAAAATAATGTTTTAAATAAGCCTTTCTTTAAAATTCCAGAAGATCAATGTAAATTTTATAATTTTTAGTATTTTATACAAACATTTTTTAATGCGTTGCAATTCTGCTTCTTCTTCCACTCATGTATAAATAAATTTTGCTTAAATTAATACACCTGTATACACAGTCAGCATTTTTGCTAGTTTTACTATTGTAGTATGAAAATAAATTTTTTATTAATATCACCATTACATTGAAATAAATTTTATATGACAATTTTTTTTTTTTTAGTATAAGATAATAGTTGATAACTATTCGAAAATGAAAATGATAATAACACTAAATATTCAAGTATACTGTTGTATATTTTTTGCTTTTTTGTATACTGAAGGAACATATAATACAAAAGAAAACGTCGATATGATAACAAATTTACTACATCAACCCGGATGGAAAAATATAAATGATATCGAATATATTACTTATAGACGCAATGTGTATAAATTTAACAATGTGATTAAAAAACTTGTAACATTACAGAACTGTGACAATTTTATACGTATTGCAACAATATTCCTTGGATGTTCTTATGCCAATGATTTACATACAATGTTCTTTATATTCTTCAACTTTCAAAAATATTGTTATAAGTTACTTAGAACTGATAAAATTAGTGCACACATTTGTACAGTTAAACTTTTAGAAAAAATGATTGAATTTGTTCCGATAGCAAAATTGATGAAAGGAGCTTTATATACTATAGAAAAATATCACAATAACCCTTTGTACACCCTAAAAAGAACTCGTTTTATTTTAACTGAAGTTCTTACAAATTTACAGAAAAATGTATCTTTGAGAAAATTGATTCCTTTAAAAAACACTAAGGATTCGATTAAAACTGCGATATACACTGTCAAAGATATTTTACAAACTAATGATTTTGAACTCGAAAATGATGTATTATTATGTAAAATAAAACAATTTGATTTGAGTGCTTTGTGGAGTTTTTGGGTTAACAAATTCGTCACATTAAACGATCAAGAAAAACATGAAGAATTTATCGTTTTTCTAAGTGATAAAATGAGCAATTTATTCTTAACGACAATCTGGAATAAGTATGTTGAACTTGGATTTAAATTTGATTCAACCACAAATGAAACCCTTTTACCTGCTCTACCTCCTACCAATGTCAAGCAAGGTATAACTTTTTAAACCTTATAAAATTTATTTGAAATTATTTAATTATTAAAATATTTAGATATCGAACAAAATCCTTCTATAAATTTGACACAACATACCAATGAAGTAGATATGACGGAATATTTTCAACAAGAATGTAAGGTTTTGTATATACATTTAATTATAATTAAAATGAGTGTAAAAATGATTAAAAAATTTATTTGTGTTTTGTGTTTCAATAAAATTTTAAATTTTAAAAATAACTTACGTAACTTAAAGTTACTTTAAAGTAACTTTGTTACTTAAAATAAATTTGGTTATAAATATTTAACTATTTAACAACCTTTTAATATTTTTAGATATCGTACAAAATACTCCTATTCAACATTATGGTAATGATTTCTTAATATATTAATGTACATCTACTTTATAATTTAAATAGATTTTAAATTGTATATTTCTTTTTATATAATTAAACTGAAAACCACATTCATTTTTTATACATCGGACAATAATCTTTTATAAATTTGATACAAGATAACAAAAAAGTAGAAATCTGAAAGGAGTAGATTATTATTTGTAATACACTACAGTACCTTAATTTTTGCATAATATAATATAACAAATAGAACGCAATATAATTATGCACAATATTTAACACGGCCACCGGGGATTGACGGTCGGTTATAGAAAGTGTACTGGAAATTATGTGAAAAAAAGAGGCACGGTACGTGATTAGAACCCGCGACGCAAGGCGTCGTATAGACAAACCTTACCACTAGGCCACCGTGCATTTAGGATTGAGATCCCGATACACTTTAATTTAGGTTGATAACGTGATATGCGACTGAGGGAAACACGGTACCGTGTCATATTTTAAAATTTTTTTTTATTAAAGACTATTCTATGGCTCCTAATTTATCTTTGGTATTGCAGGAAATAGACATAAATATTATGTATCATACAAAATTAAAAATTTTAAACCATAACTTTATTATTTTAAATAAATTTGGTTAAATTTACTTGAAATAACTAAATAAGACCAAAATACATTTGAAATTATTTCTTTGTTATAATATTTAAATATTGCAAAATATTCTTTTATATATGTAATATAGCATACCATTACTTTACTGATATATTGTTAGTATATTCAAGAAATATAAAATATATTTAAATTAATTTGTTGTTAACATATTTAGATATCACACAATATCCTTCGTTAAACTTAATACAAAATATCAATAAAATAGATATGCAAGAAGCAATTCAACAACATGGTAAAGTTTTCCTAATACACTACTGAACATCTATTTTTTATTTAAATAAGTTTTAAATTGAGCTAATTACCATTTTAATATGTTTAGATTTTACACAAAATTTTTTTATAAATATGATACAAAATAACACAGAAGTAGATAAACAAGAAGGGATTAGACAAGAAGGTAATTATTTTATAATTATTACTATACATTTATAATAAAGTCCTTTATATATATATATAATACTATATATACTATTATATATTTATATATAATACTTATCCATAATATACTATATTACATTTTTGGAGAACTGGTTAGCACACAAAATGTAAAAGAAAAAAAGTTTTAAAAATTACATATTCTTATGAGCAATATAAAATTTAGTTAAAATATTTTTTTTTTATAATACTTAGATATTGCAAAAAATCCTTCTTTAAACTTAATACAACATAACAATGAAGTAGTAATGCAAGAAACGATTCAGCAACATGGTAAAGTTTTCCTATTACACTACTGTACATCTATTTTTTATTTAAATAAGTTTTAAAAATTGAGCTAATTACTATTTTAATATGTTTAGATTTTACACAAAATGTTTTTATAAATATGATACAAAATACCACAGAAGTAGATAAACAAGAAGGGATTAGACAAGAAGGTAATTATTTTATAATTATTACTATACATTTATAATAAAGTCCTTTATATATATATATATAATACTATATATACTATTATATATTTATATATAATACTTATCCATAATATACTATATTACATTTTTGGAGAACTAAAAAATCTAGTCATGACGACATACAAATGCCAAATTATTTTTAAATTGTATAATAGTGAATATTTACATTTTATATTTTCATTTTTTTAAGGATAATATTAAAAAAACCCAGCACAGGGGGGTCGCGGCACAGTGGTGACGTGGCATAGTTGGATCAAGTATAATGATACCTGACAGTGATTAAAATCACGATCATAAAAAACGCTTCGATGCAAATGTGTATATAGTGTTTAATTTTAAAAAATTGGTGGATTATACCAAAAGCTATTAAGATCTGCTATTTCCTTATTTTTATCCTGATTAGGGTAAAGTATTGTGTTGATCCATACACTTTTCAACAAGTTATAGTATTATAAAATTAAAAATGTAAATAAAAATCGAGAATTTTCACACGAAAATAGCATTTGGTAAGACAAAATAAAGTCCGAAATTTTTTATTTTGTATAATAAAGTATATTACATTAGCTTTAATATAAGAANTAATAAAGTATATTACATTAGCTTTAATTTAAGATATATATAAAAGTGTCAGACTTTCCGGAACACTTTCAAAAGTTAAGTGTAATAGTAAATTTTTTGTGAAAAAAATGTCATTTTAAATCCCCCGCTGTGGGCAGGTCAAGTGTCAGGTTTAGAAAAAAAAGTATACCAAATGATAGGTAAGGATATTATGCATCTATAAAAAAAAATTAAATCTATTTGTTCATTTTTGAAAAGTAATGGCAGTTTTAATTTAAAAAAATTGAAAAATTTTCGAAATTTATCAATTTCTAAATTTGTATTTTTTTTTGGAGATTTCCTCCATTTACGGGGAACGAATGAAATTTTTAAAAAATTTAAAGGTAATGTCTTCGATTAGATACGATTTGTAATCTTATGATGTATGGTTGAAAGAATTCGGTCCAGTGAGAGTTGAGATAAACTGGTAACAGACAAAAAAAAACACATAGTAAAACCAACCTTCTCAGATTTGCATCGAAGCTAAAAAAGACAATTATATTATTCAAATGTGTATAAATCTTATATATCAGATCTTATAAAGGTACAATCAAATAATTACATCGTGTGATAATTTATTATTACTCAGATTTGCACTATTTTACGTATATGTTATTGATTCGCAATTCCATATAAAAATATATTATTAAGTATCTTTAAAAATTGCGTTGATGTAGAAATTTAATGAAGAAAAATGTACATTTTCTCTCGCAATATCTAAATCTGCTTTAACTTTTACATTAACTTCTTATATAAAAGATGTAATATAATATAAATATAATATACTTGCATTTTTTTAAGGATAATATCAAAAAAGACTATTATATTACTTCAAATGTGTATAAATCTTATATATCAGATCTTAAAAAGGTACAATCAAATAATTACATCCTGTGATAATTTATTATTATGCAGGCATGAACTATTTTACAGACATGTTATTGATACACTATTCAATTTAAAAATATACTATTAGAATCTTTACAAATGGTTTTTATGTAGAAATTTTAGATAAGGTGGAAGAGAATATAAATCATCTTTAACTTTTACATTAACATATTGTATAAAAGTTAATAGTTTAAACTTTCGGAATAACTTATTCGATATTTACGTATTGTGATTAATGAGAATTAATAGTTTAGCCATTAAAAAGTACATGGATAATTTTTTTATTATATTTTTTAACTTAATCTATTAGCTGGTTAGTACACAAAACGTAAAAGAAAAAAGTTTTAAAAATTACATATTTTTTACAAAATACAAAATGATATAAATAAATTTTGTTTTATTCTTTAATCTTAGCCTTTAGCTGAACAGTATACAAGACATAAAAGAAACATTATATCTACAATATTATTTCATTATGTGTGTATAACAGATTAATACGGTTGGGTTTTTAAAAAATTAATAATAGGTCAAGTTCATTTCTTTCTTTGAGGACTTTTTTTTACATGAATGTTATTTTTATTTTGTTTAAGTATATACTTTCATAATTTCAGAATAATGTATAATACTATTATTGTAATAAAAAAGCCATTGGTCGTATTAAACCATCATTCCTTATTTTAATTGCCATGACAGTTATAAAATAATGTGCTATTATTTTATTCAATCATAATGGAGTACAATTTCGTAACTCTCTTTAATAATTTATTTTTGTACAAAATTAGATGTCATATTTGAAACGGAACCTGAATCGGGCGAACTAATTGAATATCCTGATCATTTGATACCATTTAATAAGTATCTTTAAGTTAACTTTTTTGTGCTAAATTTTTATTATAATTACATTATTATTTATAATAATTATGTTAATTTAATTTTTAAGCATGATTTAAATGTTCAATCAATTTATTTATATTAACTATATTACAAGGTTACTTATAATTTTACATTAAATTTAACCAGTTTTTATAATAGAAAATTATATAATTAAAAAAATGACGAATTCATTAGAACTTTGAAATAGTATTTCAGAAACTATAACCTTAATAAGGTATATAACTATACCTTGGCGAGAGATAGAGTACGGCTGAAAATAAAGTTGGTACTATTTTATGTTGTAAGAAATGATACTAAGAATCAGGTTTGGATAGACTAGGTGAGCTTCTGATGTAATCTCGATGAGTATCTTTAATTAAATACTCTTTGCAAATATTTTGGCCCTCATTTTATAAAATGTTTAGACACTTCTAGGCTATTATAGCACTATGGGGTGATGTCATGTCAAATCATCTGAACTGCGAACTGTAAGATCTTAAATATTTTAAAATTTGATAGTATTTCTGTACCTGGTCAGTAATGCCAAAATAAACGTGTTTTTTTAATAATACGTTTTGCTCTACTACGCATTGTAATATACGTTAAATTATATATAAGCACATAACCAATTTGCAGTTCTATAACAGCCAAGGATAAAAATCTTACGAACAAAAAATAGGCCCAGATTTGATTTGACTTTAAGAGTATTTTTTCAAAATTAATTTTTTTTACAGTTTAAATTTAAAAAAATTAAGACATCCTTTTATTATTGATGAAATGTTTAAAAAGAAATAGTTCACTCATTGTTAACTTCAATAAGCTTCGTAGTTTCTTAAAAAAGTATAAACAATATGTTTAAATGCAACACCCGGTGATAATTTGCGCGTTAGTTAACGTTCGGTTTCTATTGTTTCTAATCACGCAGGAGAGAGAAGTAGAGAGTGGATTGTATAAAATTATTAAAATTTAATTAAATATATATAACAATTAACTGTATTGAAATTACAAACCAAAAATATTATATATATATCAATGATGGCAGGGGGATACTTAATGTTAATGTAACAAAATAATTAATAAGATTAAAAATAAGACAAACAATATTATTAAATGGTTGATGTAAATGGAAGACGAATGGTGTCGTTGTTATAAAAATTGAATAAACAAAACGTTATGTCGCGAACAGTACTTCAAAATGTACGAATGTAAAACACAATGAGCATATCGAAAAAGCGATATATCACACTCACAAAGTTTAAAGTGTATAATTTTTAATTTAACATGTATGCAATTTTAAATACTTTTTTTTTAGAATTTGTGTTAATAAATTATTTGTATAATTTTAGCGAATTACTTAAAATTTACATCAAATTATAAATGTATATGTTAGTAATAAATTATTGTTATTAAAAAGTAATGTATTAATTAAAAATAAATATTTTAATATTAAAAATCAAGTTGTATAAATTTAATTTTCAAAATATTTATTTGTGTTATTACATTAAATTGCAAACAATCGTGTAACATAAACGTTCATTGAACAATACCTAGAAGGCCGTATACCTAATTGAACAATAGATCCGTTTGACGAAC